TAAAAATTATATTGAAAATGGATGGCCAATCCATAAGAAAACTATGAATCCCCTCGTCAAGTCATTTTGGGATATAAAAGAAGAACTATTCGAGTGGGAAGGTCTATGGTGCAGAGGCGTCAAATTAGTAATCCCCGAAAAGAGGAGAAATCACATATTGAGCCTACTTCACAAGGCTCATAGAGGAATTAACTCGACATTATCCTTGGCAAGAAGTACATTCTATTGGCCAGGAATGTGTCAAGAAGTGGAAGAATTTGTAAAGAAATGTCGAATATGTCAAAAATATTCTCGGAATAACACTAAAGAACCTCTAATACCTCATGAAACCGGCAATTATCCATTTAAAAAAATCGGAGTTGATTTATTTGAAATAGAAGGAAGGAAATACTTAGGAATTGTAGATTATTACACCAAGTATCCGGAAGTGTTTGAACTCAGGTCAACAAAAGCAGAAATGGTTATAGAGAAGCTCAAAGAAGTTTTCGCCAGATTTGGAGTCCCCGAGATCATGATGACTGACAATGGACCGCCCTTCCAATCCACAGAGATGATGGAGTTCGCCAAAGAATGGAATGTGACTCACCCAACCTCGAGCTCAAGATTCCCACAGTCCAATGGCATGATCGAACGAACTATCCAGACTTTAAAGAGTACCATTATCAAATGTCAACAAAGTAAACAGGATATATATCAGGCACTACTATTTCTAAGAAACACTGAGCATAACTCATTGCCATCTCCAGCTGTCATGTTGTATGGGAGAAAGCAGAGACTCTTTTTCCCTATGAAGACAACACTGATGAACGAGAGCAGAATTTGCGAAGATTCCACCAGGAAACAGCATGAAGCTAACCAGAGCAGAATGAAGTTTTATTTTAATCGACACGCAAGGGATCTCCCTTCATTGGAGAACGGCCAGACTGTGTTGGTTAGAAAAGAGAAGCAATGGTCCTCAGCTAAAGTTATAGCCCCTGGAGTTCACCCCCGATCTTATCTTCTAGAGGACATCAAAGGATCAGTTCTTAGAAGAAATCGACGAGATCTACGTCCAGCTGATACCTTATCAAGACCTACGGAAAAAGAAAGTCCTCCAGAAAAGCAAGAACAACTTGACCCTCAACCATCTACATCTTCCCAGAGCGAGGAGACTTCAGCCACAACTAGAACCAGATGCGGAAGATTAGTTAAACCCCTAGTGAGGTTGAATCTTCAAGAAAAAGGGAAGAAAGGAGAAAAGGAAAAAGAAAAAAGAAAAAAAAAAGACATGTAACATAAAAAGATTATGTTTATTGGTTTTTGACCATAATTATTAATGTTGTGTGTGTGTGTGTTATATAAAAATATAGTGTAGAACAAGCGCAGCCATGCTTGTAGTGAATAAAATGTATTACTATTAAACGGTGGTAATTACTGGATAAAACCTCAACCGCTACATAACACATTGTAAAACGAAAATTAAAATTATACCGCGAATGTTTCTTTTAAAAATCGAAATTTTATTTTCAAAGAGAAATAGCGACATTTCTAACTTTGAAGATGAGGTATGGAAAGGTGAAACATGAAGAGTAATGGAGAACGGAAAAATAAAAAGTGTCCAGGGGCGGGAATCGAACCCACACCCTTCTGCTTACCGGGCAGGTGCCTTGTCCACTCGGCTACCCTGGACGTATTTTTCCGTTCATAACTTATATTTAAAGTAACATTTAAAATACAATATAACGCGGCTGATGATTGTAAAACGAAAATTAAAATTATACCGCGAATGTTTCTTTTAAAAATCGAAATTTTATTTTCAAAGAGAAATAGCGACATTTCTAACTTTGAAGATGAGGTATGGAAAGGTGAAACATGAAGAGTAATGGAGAACGGAAAAATAAAAAGTGTCCAGGGGCGGGAATCGAACCCACATTACTCTTCATGTTTCAACTTTCCATACCTCATCTTCAAAGTTAGAAATGTCGCTATTTCTCTTTGAAAATAAAATTTCGATTTTTAAAAGAAACATTCGCGGTATAATTTTAATTTTCGTTTTACAATCATCAGCCGAGTTATATTGTATTTTAAATGTTACTTTAAATATAAGTTATGAACGGAAAAATACGTCCAGGGTAGCCGAGTGGACAAGGCACCTGCCCGGTAAGCAGAAGGGTGTGGGTTCGATTCCCGCCCCTGGACACTTTTTATTTTTCCGTTCTCCATTACACTTCATGTTTCACCTTTCCATACCTCATCTTCAAAGTTAGAAATGTCGCTATTTCTCTTTGAAAATAAAATTTCGATTTTTAAAAGAAACATTCGCGGTATAATTTTAATTTTCGTTTTATAACACATTGTACTTCGTCCTGATGAACGCAAATTGTCAGTGGATGTTCTCAGGATATGTAGGTTGGTACACTGTTACTGCTATATGTATCGTACTCCGTCCTAATGAACAGAGAGTGCCAGTGGATGTTCTCAGGATATGTATGTTGGTACACTGTTACTGTTATAAGTATTGTATTTCGTCCTAATGAACAGAGAGTGCCAGTGGATGTTCTCAGGATATGTAGGTTGTTACACTGATACTGTAATCGTATCGTAGGTGTCAGTGGATGTTCTCAAATTGTATATCTGGAGATGTTGCTACTGCTATATGCATCATAATTCATCCTAATGAACAAAAGGAAACCAGAGGATGTCCTCAGGTCATGTAGCTGAGTGCGTTGCAACTGTTATAGTATAGTACTTCGTCCTAATGAACAAAGAGTGCCAGTGGATGCCTTCCTGGACATATAAGCTCATTGCCACACACACACACTGATATCTTTTTGTGTACTTTATCATTATAATACATACCTTAATATATTTATTTATAGGCAGGTATATATTGTTACGTCGTACCCAGACGCTATTCGCGTACTTTGTCTACTCAGGATGCCACAAAGATACACGAGTGAGTTCAAAGGGATTGCAGCTAAAGTTTAGGGCTTTATTGTATCTCACTTAACAGAAGGAATACAGCAGTGGGACTTGCCTTCAATCTCCCCGCCCGAATAATCCATGACGCCTTGAATTTCCTCTTGTGAAGCGTTCCGCTCCACACTATACACGTGCAGCTTGGACTACACCGCCTTGTAGGACGCTCCAATGTCAGTCTCTCCTGGTTCCGCCTTGCAGGATAATCCACACGCCCCGGAGGTAACTCGCCGCCGTCTTCTCCTTGCCGCAGATCTCGATGTCACCAGACTGACTTATCCCCTAGACTGCGATGTCCTCTCGGCGCACAACCCCCTTCATGCCGACCGCTTTCTCGGCTCCTTCCTTTACTACGGCACCCGCTGTCTGCCGCCCCTCCTCTGGAATCTGTCAATCAACACTTCCTTGTGGAGGGGGGCCCTGCATACCTTCTTTTCTCGGCTTGCCCACATATTCTCTTCATCTTCTTTGCTGCACCGCTTCAATATGTTCTCCTGGTTATTTACTGTCATATGACCTTAACCAGACAATCATGTATAAAAACAAAACACTATTTTAAAGTAAAGCGAGATAAAAAGAAAATTAAGTTGACGTTCCGAGATGTAATAATCGTACAGTTGCAGATAGCGGACTGTCGATACGGCACGCAGGGCTGAAGCTAAAATCATTTAAAATCCGAAAAAAAAACTTGGATTTGTCTGATAACGGAATACGTCTCAATTGATCATTGTCACAGTTAACGTGTTTTCTGCACCATGCAAGGCGGCGCCTCTTCTGAAGTGGGGCTAAAGGCACGCATATCGTTGGCTTCTTAGAGTAAAGGTTTTGGCATTATAAGCCTTCGTGTAAGAAGATTTTCAGGGATATAATTCTGCCAGTGGTCGCGGCAAGCTTCAGGGAGAGTTAGTGAGCTGACATCTTCCGTGAACGCTTGTCTTCCTCACTCGGAGTTGTCACCTTGGCGCGGCCTTCAGCTTTCCTCCGACGACAAGTCCCAGTTGTTTGGAATTGGCTCCAGAGACGGGATATCACGCTTACAGACACGTTAAAAAACTTGGCAACTTCCTGCTGTGGTTGCCATATTCGATCCTCCCCAGCGCTCTTCCTCGTGATATGTCATCTAAATGGTGACTCGTAGTCATTGAGTGCTATACTATTGGAAATGTATAGGTAGGAATAGCATTATGCTATTACTATAAGTGTAGTACTCTATACTATAAGTGCGCTCAATGCCACCACGTTAAACCTTCCTTTAGAGTACGACAAGTATTCAACCCTAATCACTTGATAAGTTTGTAAAAAGTAGACAATAAAAGACACATTACAAAAGTTGGCAATAACCACACAAGAAACCTAGTCATATAGAGCAAGAGGATATAACGTGTTTTTACTTTAAAGCATAACATATATATAAAGAAATGACCTGGAGAAGCAAGACATTTTTCTCTGAGCTTTGATTTGTAAAAGTTAATAGTGACTTCACAAACACAAATATATATCTTTCATCATCTAATACCTCTTCGACGAATAAAATTCCTAGTCGTTTCCCGATACTTCCCCCGGTAGAGGTGTGATTGGCACAGCTGGATTGGATGCTATTTGGATGAAGGTTGATTGAGAAATTGAGATTGTCGCGCGCGCGCGCGTGGCACAACCTTTTGTGACGCCATTTGCGAAATTGACATATATATTTTGATTACTTGCTGCGACAGAGGTTTAATAAGCTAACACAAATAGTATATTACTATATAATATAATGCGGCTTTTGATTGTAAAACGACATTTGAAAACTATCCCGCATGTGTTTCCCATCCCTGGACACTTTTATTTTTCCATTTATCATTACTCTTCACAATTCACCCTTTCATACCTCATCCAAAAGGTTGAAATAATCGTTATTTATCCTTGAAATAAATTTTTATTTTTCGTTGAAAAGAAACACATGCGGGATAGTTTTCAAATGTCGTTTTACAATCAAAAGCCGCATTATATTATATTGTATTATAAATTACTTTATGTATTATTTACGAACGGAAAAATATGTCCAGGATAACCTAGTGGACAATGGCATCTGCCCGGTAAGCGAAACATTGTGGGTTTGGTTCCCATCCCTGGACACTTTTATTTTTCCGTTTATCATTACTCTTCACAATTCAACCTTTCATACCTCATCCAAAAGGTTAGAAATAATCGTTATTTTTCCTTGAAATAAATTTTGATTTTTCGTTGAAAAGAAACACATGCGGGATAGTTTTCAAATGTCGTTTTAAAATAAATGGTATATATTGCTTGAATATTTTAAAATAATTTGTCAAACTACTGTACTTTTGATTTGTAAAGGTGGAGAGACACCATATTATTTATCACCTGATAAATTATTGGACTATCACTGGTTAGGTGAATGAACCACCAATGGTTGAACCAATGGGCATTTCATCACTAGTTGAGTGAATGGTCCTAATTCGTTGACTGAATGGGATTTCATTGGCTGAACCAATGGGCCACCACTGGTTGGATTAATGGGCTATCCCTGATTAAGTGAATGAGTTTTCACAGGTTGAATCAATGGGCCGGCACTGTTTGGATCATTGGGACACCACTGGTTGATTCAATGGGCCACCACACTGGCTAAAACAATGGGATTTCATTGTTCAGATCAGTGGGCCATCACTGGGGCGATCAATGGGCCGTCACTAGTTAAGTAAATGAACTTTCACTGGTTGAATCAATGGGCCAGTACTGTTTGGATCAATGGGTTAACACTTGTTCGATAAATGGGCCATCACTGGTTGGATGAATGGGACATCACTAGTTAGATCAATGTATAATCACTGGTTAATTGAAAGAACCATCACTAGTTCGATCAATGGGCTTTCACTGATTTGATCAATTGGCCGTTGCTGGTTTGATCAATGGGCCATCACTGGTTAAATAAATGTGTCCTTACTGTGTAGGTAAATGAGCCATTACTGGTTGGATGAATGGGCTATCACTGATTGATTCAATGATGTGCTTATATATAAAGGATCCATTGTCTTGGTTTCTGATGATCTATTGTGCTCACACGCATATTCTGACTTCAGCACTTCAATTCATCCACATAAAATAGATTAAACGGCTTTTTTTATTGATTGCATGAATGTAATAATGCTTCTGGTGTAAGTATTTCTTATTAGACTGCCAAAATTGGGGCAATCGTTGAATAAAGTTCTAACATACTATTTCCTGAGTGTACAGGATAAGACAAAACCTTTGAGAGAGTATGGAAAGTACAGTCTGATTTGTATATATAGTATTGAAGCGAGTGCTTTCAGAGTCGTAAAAATGTCTAAGTATGAACAATTTGAGATATCCAGATGAAATCAGTTCATCTTTTATATTTTAATTTCTATTGTTTTGAATACTTGGATGGAACAATGAACATAGACTCGTTTGTTTAGTGTTTTACTGTGTTGATCCTATAGCTGAGAATATCATATCACAAAGTGACAGAGAGTGCTTGGTTATGCTCCAGGAATATTTCTTGTTCAATATTTGATAGGACCAGGTTAAAAACTGTATTTATCTCTAAATATTTTCTCTGTGTTCTATCTGGCAGTGTTCCTAACGTATTAGTGTATCTCAGAGACCCACCCGGCTCCTACAGTTGGGGCCGCGCTGACCATGCAATGCCACAACCAAGGCCGGCTGGGTAACCAGATGGCGATTTACGCCGCGTTGTTGGGACTGGCCCACTTCAACCATCGCACACCCTACGTCCTCAACTGCAACTATGAAAAACTCGAACCTTACTTCAAGATCACGGCGGTGGATATCATTTCTATAAATGTATCTGAAGAACATTCCTACGACCTAGGTACCTTTCTTCGTGAAGAGGACAAGCTTATTCCGCAATATAAAGTATTCCTTAAAATTTACCCCCCTATCCACCGATTTCTTACACTTTCTTCCATCACATTCGGGATAAAATAAGATCTGAATTATCTTTCAAAGATGAAATAATCAATCGTGTCGAAAATTATCTTGTGGAACTCAGTTTGGTATATGGTCAATCTACAACTTTCGTGAGTATCCACGTTCGGAGGACAGACTACAATGAATGGTTGAAGCGTCCAATCAGAAGAGGAAGACTAGTCGACATGAAGTACTTCAACCTGGCCATGAAGTACTTTGAAGACAAGTACGAGAAGGTGGTGTTTGTGGTGGTGAGTGACGACCGAAAGTGGTGCAAAGAGAACTTCGGCAACAAGTCCAACGCCGTCCTTGCTCCACCAGCGTCTGAACCAGCCGTCGACATGGCGCTGATCTCCCGATGTCACCATCACATCATGTCCTACGGCAGCTTCGGCTTCTGGGGCGCCTACCTCGGAGGTGGAACCACGGTGTTCTTCGCGGACTTCCTTCCACCTGACTCCACCTTCCTGCTCCGAAGGATGCCTTACAACGTCCTCTACCTTCCGGAATGGGTGGACATCTCGACTGCACCTGATTTCTGGAAGACTCATTCCAAATCTTGACCATCACAACACATATATTCAACATATTATTCTTATTTAGACTATTTTCCCAATTTTTATATATTCTAAAACATAATATATAAATTATCTGGGTTAAAACTAAACGATTGAAATTATTTGCTCGAACTTACTTTTCAAATCATAGGGTGAATTAATTTTTTTTTTAAAATTCAATATAACGCGGCTGATGATTGTAAAACGAAAATTAAAATTATACCGCGAATGTTTCTTTTAAAAATCGAAATTTATTTTCAAAGAGAAATAGCGACATTTCTAACTTTGAGGATGAGGTATGGAAAGGTGAAACATGAAGAGTAATGGAGAACGGAAAAATAAAAAGTGTCCAGGGGCGGGAATCGAACCCACACCCTTCTGCTTACCGGGCAGGTGCCTTGTCCACTCGGCTACCCTGGACGTATTTTTCCGTTCATAACTTATATTTAAAGTAACATTTAAAATACAATATAACGCGGCTGATGATTGTAAAACGAAAATTAAAATTATACCGCGAATGTTTCTTTTAAAAATCGAAATTTATTTTCAAAGAGAAATAGCGACATTTCTAACTTTGAGGATGAGGTGTGGAAAGGTGAAACATGAAGAGTAATGGAGAACGGAAAAATAAAAAAAGTGAACAAGGCACCTGCCCGGTAAGCAGAAGGGTGTGGGTTCGATTCCCGCCCCTGGACACTTTTTATTTTTCCGTTCTCCATTACTCTTCATGTTTCACCTTTCCATACCTCATCCTCAAAGTTAGAAATGTCGCTATTTCTCTTTGAAAATAAATTTCGATTTTTAAAAGAAACATTCGCGGTATAATTTTAATTTTCGTTTTACAATTTTTTTTTTATTTGTTGAAAAAACTAGAATATGTAACTATTAATAAAAAATTGGATTCTATATATTTTGTGTGCTTACTTTAGCATGAATGAATATTTCTTATAATCTAAAAGTAATTAAAAACTCGTTTTTTTTCTTAGAGAAAATATATTACAAATAGGAATTTCTGTGTATATGCCTCAGTATTCATTAAATGAATTTTCAAATTAATTCATACCCAATCCCGCCACAAAACATAAAATTTATGCATTGCATACTATCTTTCATTATTATCTATACATTGTTTCACTGTAATGTCCAATAAAATATTTCAAGTGGGGATCACAACACGAACCCAGATTATCAGGAAACAAAAATAATGGAAAATATAATTTTCACAAGGGATATATTCCAATATATAATTTGTGATACTGTCCGAAATTACACGTAATATTGTAATCCAAAATCTATTTTCTGTGTTAGAAAATCAATTAATACAGCAGTGCGGTATATTAAAATAGCGAAACGGATGAGGGAGTGCAGCATTTACGAACCACAACATGCCAATAATTTTCATTAGTGAAAGAAGTACCTGAGAAATTTTGTGTTGACAAATACAAACATTGGGTGAAATAGGCTCTCAATTCATGTAAGAATTGCAGGGATTTGTAGGAAATCCCTAAAACAAGAACATGGTATTGAAGCAAAGAGACTGCATTAGAAATATGTATATCCTTGAGTGGCATTAAAATCAATGTCAAAACTACGACAACTCTCTCTCTCTCTCTCTCTCTGGAGTTCAAATAAGTATTTAAATGAAATATCCAATCTCTCAGAAATACACATTTATCGCATATTATACATTAAATTGAATATGCAATTTATTTTTAATCTTTGGAATTATAACTAACCTATTTTATTGGCATCTTGACAATTTATGTCAAAGAATCATCTCGAGGCTTTTCCTGCAGGGTACCGCGAAGCTTTGATTCAAGGAGGACTTGATATATGGTTCCTCCGAAGAAGTCCTCAAATCCCTTGACGAGCTCGCAGGAAACACTATCTCAGCCAGCCGCTTTCCTTTGTGGCTGACAGGTAATGGCAGCTTCCACCTCACTCAAATAAATCTGCTCGATGAAGCGGGACATTGTCCTCCAGGGTGATGCTCTCCTCAGCTCTCTCAAAGGAATTCAGCTATGTTCTCTAGGTGAAGCAAGAGCTGTGGAAGCACTCTCTGTGCAGTTGAAGATGGCGCGCCTTAGATTCCTCGAAGGGTTTCCGCGAAGACGTAGGCGAGGCCTGATCCTACGATGGTCGTCGCGGGTACGACAACGGCGCTGTTGCCGTGGCAGTCTCCTACGTCGTCCAAGGATATGACGTTGGTCTCCTGTAGGAAGCAGATGTCAATCTCATAGGCTCCTTGAAAAAACAGTAAATTCGGATTATTTTACAAAGAGCGGCGTTGCCGCATGTGTTCAGGGTCCCAACTCAGAAGTTAATTCAAGCTGATCAGCAAGGTTTCTGGAGCATGAAATATTCTTGTATAGGGTATTGCTTGTGTCTTCTGTCAGAACCATTAGCGCCGTAACCAAGGTGTCGATGGCCTGTCTCTGCTGAATGTTCGATTGGGCCAAGAGATTTTCGATCAATCAGTTGCTGGTGAAGGCTTGGAGGAGTTTTTTCTCTCTCCAGCCCCAACTGCTGAACGTTCGATTGGACCAAGAGGTTTTCGATCAATCAGTTGTTGGTGAAAGCTTGGAGGAGTGTACGATGGTGATGACC